GACGATGAGATTCGTGACGCGGACTAAAGATGTAGAACATACGCATCAATGAAATAACCAGCATCGGAGAAGCATTTCACTGTTGCACTAGCTGGGAGAAGACTGCGGAAGCTGTCACAATGTAGTATGGTCGTCAATCCACCTGCTGAGCAACCACCGAGAAGTGCCTGCGAGCATTCGCCACTATTAGAACAGAAACTTTGAGAGTGATAAGACTTGACCACTTTACATCTACATACCTTTTGTGCTTTGTTCATCCCCCTCGCCAATAGATCTTTCATTATAGCTCGCCAAACTCTGGCTCCTCTGAAGTAGAGACCTGTAGCCTAATCAAACGAAGATGTGAAAGACATGTTATCGATACAGCGTTGCTTAGCAAGGAAATGAAACATATATCAGAAGAAGCATCGGATTAGGAGCTCACAGGATCTACTTTTTCTATGTCCCCTGTAAATGAGGCACCATCACAGTACCGAATCTTGACCCGGTTCCAGTTATAGAAGTCTGCAAGCATTGCAAGAATCAAAGCAAAGAATCTGACAGCAAAAGCTCCGTATTATTATTGTTGTTGTTGTTGTATTTGATGGCATCATTCGAATGATACAATCAAAGTTAAATCTGACATGCATCAAAAAATTGTGTTAATAGTACATTGGTAGAGAAGGAAGATTAATCATACCAGGATTCCTTTGCTGAACGCCTCCTAACATGCCAGAGAAGGAGACAGGCGGCATATGATTAGAGGAACCTCTAAAATTGCCTTTACGTACTACGCAATCATTAACAGTGCTGCACCAACCTCCTCCCTGCAAAATGACGAGGGAGGGATTTACTCCACGACCAAGAATAGATTCTTTCGAAACTTGGATATTCAAATGGATAAAGACATGTTATACATTTCGAGATTTATAATATAGTTCGATATGATATGATGATATTGTAACACCACGATAAGTTTCACATCGAAGATGAACAAAATTAAGAATAACTTATAAGGGTTTAATGAGTATATTATTATTAACTTTAACTTAAATATTTTAATTAATAATTTAGGTTAAATAAAATTGATAATCATGTGACTAGTATGGTATGAAAGAATTTATCAGTTAACGTAGGGTAAATTGACTATGCTTAAAATAAGGCATGTATTGCCTTTCTATGATACATAACAAAACTTGACCAATACATTAAGGATATAAGAAATTGTGAATCTCGGTGTACATTTATCTTTTTTAGCAAATAGAAACATAATTAAAAAAGAATACAAATCTTGTTACTTCATTTTCAGCAGTGAATGTGCAAGATCTACTTTCACTTTACATTATTTGTCTATCAAAGAAAATTTTTGCATCTACAGTATGGTAAAACAGTCTATCTGTTGTTGCATGTAATATAGAAGTCTCAGACTGGGAAACCTACAAGGAATTGAAGTTCTACAAGTTCTAAAGATAAATCATGATCTAAGAGGCAATCCAATCACCATTTCTATTGTCAAAGCTCATGCTTCAGTTCTAGATGTTGAAATCAGGCTTGACAGGCATCCTATGTTGACACAAATCATACATGCATACAACATATAACCAACAATTAATCAAAAACGTACCAATCATAATATTTGAGGACTACGTCAAGAAAATAAACTGACCTCGACGAAAAGCAACCAGTTATTTGCACCAGAGCCAGAACCAGGGGCGAGATTATATGCTGCAGGACTTCCATCCAGGCAAACTGGAAAATAAGAAGATGAGTTCATTTGGAAGCTGCCGTGGGTAGATGTCCGAGAATGAACTTGTTCGGATAACTATCATTGCAATGAAGAAGATAAGATCCAAAAGAGAATCCATGGGTACACAGACCTGCTCCTTCAGCTACTGCACCTTTCAACAGAGTCATGGGCACATTGTCACCTTCAACTTGCAGAAAGGCCAGCAGATAGAGTAAGCAGATGAGAGGGCACACCCATGTTCCTGATTTAACACCAACCATTCTGCAACATCGATTCGAATCTGTTAGCACAGAAGACAGAAAAGCCTACAGGAGGAGTCGAAAGGCCATTCTGCGCTTCATTAGAAATAGCAATCTACGAGAATCCACGGGATATTCCAAGACAAGGCCTCAGAGAAACATGCAAGCTGAGAACGAGGAACTTAGAAGAACTAAAAAGACCTGAAATTTAACGGCAAAGCACTGCGCACAAACCGCTTCGCGATGAGCTGAGAACACTTGTAAGATGGAGAGGAACTCGAGATCTCGGCCGTTCTCATTATTGGCTGTGGAGGAAGGGAGACTCTTTAAAAGATTTTGCTGTGCACGGAGTTTTTGGCGTAATGATTCCTGGAATCGTAGGTGTTAAAGCATTTGGAAGGTAACGATCAAAGAAAGAAAAACATTCAAACAATCGTTCATTAAATAGCAAAGATGGAGGAAAGAATGAATATGGTGGAAAGATGACGCAAAAAGAATATTTCGTGAGCAATTATATTACCATTTTGAAGGTTGTATCGGTAATGCACGAGACTCTCGGGACTAATTATAGATTATCCTCTATAATTAACTATTCTTATAACAAAAGAATAAGGATTAAAATAATAGTAAGAAAAAGAGGTTTTACGGTAAGGTTATTCCTTTACCATAATTACAGTCTCTATATTTAGATATATACTTAACTCTCAGGATTCTTATACAGATTAATTACATATTTTTCTATGTAATTAATTATCTTTAGTATTCTATTCCTTATGCTTTTAAAAGTTATATTAGGATCACTATATTAATGAAAGTGAAATATTTAACTATGTTTCTCCTTACGTCATCGATTCTATTGATGAAAATAACACATGTACTTAGTGGTAAACCAAAGTGAGATAGAATCACGGTGAGAAAAAATGGATGATGTGAGAAAATTATAAGAATCGATGATGTGAGAAAATTATATTGATGAAAATATAATATTTTTATTTTTATCAGTAAAACCGATGATGTGAGAAAAAATGGAGTTAAAATTTTTACTTTTATAAGTATAAGATTCCTAATGTAACTTTTAAAATTATAAGAATCGAGATGCTAAATATAATTAATTATAGGAGATAATATGTAATTAATCCATAAGGCTCCCTGGGAGTTAATGTGTTTTTAAATATAGAGACTATAATTATGATAAAGAATAATCTAATCGTAACAATTGTCTCTTTTGCTATTATTTTAATCATCGCTCCTTTGTTGTTATAATTTCAATTAAAACTCCTTTTCTCGCCCGTTTCAATAACTTGCTTCGATACCTTTATATTTTTGAAGTTGTTCATATTGGTCGATGAAAACACAAACTGTAACTCTCATACATGGCCTCTATTATTATGTTGTAAGGCTTGAATTTATAGTCTTTGTCATCATGTTGCTCACTGAAGCATAGCTCTCAATAGCTCCTAATTATACCTTTGTATGATTAAGTCCCTCGTAAGACTTTTCCTATGTGTATCGTATTGCCTCGAATTATTTTAGGATAATCTATTACTCTGTATCACCTCTTGGAGATGTCTTTATTATACTTTGATCTTTGTGTAATGAACTCGGACTATAATATCACATTGTACTACCTCTATTGACACATCGCATGACCTTTGCCACCTCTTATTATACTCACTCATTATCAACTTTTATCCATTGGACTCGGGTCACACACGGATGATGTACAACTCTAGAATAGCATATCATCCAACAACTCTCGAAGTTCATTGATTTCGTTGAAAATTGGTGTGCTATTGTCTGGATCCTTAACCTTTGCTTCTAGCATAATCTCTATTGTGCATAGATTCATTTTCGACAACTTGAATGATAGCACTGTGATATATTCTTCAAGAGTCTCCACCTCCATGTTCTCTTGTCTCGTTCTAAGGCATTCTATCTCCCACTTCGTCTTAGTCCCTTCGTCAATTATTTCACTAAGATAAGGTGTATATACCTTAAAACTCCCTTCGATTTTAGCACAATACAAGATGAGTCCACTCTATCACAATGAGAAAACTATGGAATTATAGGGTCCCGCTCTTGCCTTTTAAAGAGTTTATATTCTTGACCTTCATTTAAGAAAAGCTTAGCGCCTCCGCTCCATGTTTTGTCTTATATATCGACTCAGTGCATGTGGCTTAATTACTTCACTAAGTTCCACCCAAGTTGCTCCACTCGGTTTGTATTGATATGATGGTTTGCTAATTTGGTACTTATATAAGGACTTGTATACAAATGATAGACTATTCATCATTGTCCCAAGGCGATCAAAATTTAGCGTTATGGAGCATGAAAACTTTCTTTTCGGTATAGAAATGGTATATTTGTAAGAGGCTGAATTGTGCAATAGGTTTAGCATATTACCGAGGCTTATGAGGCATAACGGGGGCTATATTAATGAAGGATCACAATTTAGCAAGTGCATTAATGATGGCAAAGTACTTTAAGAAGATGATGACCTCCAAAACTTATCAAGGGAAAGATCAATGTACATTAATGAAGGACAAGTCTTGATTCTCCAATATAAGATCCATGTACAAAGAACTACACATGTTGAGGGAGGTACCTCAAGTTGAAAGTTTTTCAAAATGAAGATAGTTGCGAGCGAAAAGGCGTTCTGTGACATAAAAAAATAATCATTAAAATCTACTAGCAAGTGTCGATAATAACATCAACTAACATCAACTTAAATAGAGGAGAATATGATCATGGCATGCGCACAACACCTTTGTCAATAGACTCGTTCATTAATTTTGTTTACTTGTACATTTATTTGACGATATATATTTTTATTTTTATATATTTTTGTTTGAAAATGGTAATCAAGAAAGAGATAGGCAAAACTATCCTCAAATAACTCAATTTTCTACGTATTATAATTTATTTTCTACTGATTACGATGCGAAATAAAACATTCACCATCTCAATACCAATTTACACGTAAAACCTATAAAAACTTATCAACATACCCAACACTCAGTAAAGCTATAACCTTTTGCAAGACATTAAAACTTATCTGCGACATATTTTCTGAATTAGTTGATTCTCTGTTACAAGTTCTTTTAAGGCCTAAGCAAAATTACTTCTAATATAACCTTTAACGAACGGACAACATAAAAATGTCTCACGACTCTACAAGTCTGGTTAAGTCCATGCAACCCTTCCCTCCTCTCTGCCTAACCCTCGACTTCTTCGTCGCCACTCACCATGAGGAGGATGGGAGGACAATGGTAAGCAGGCAGGCAGGAGGGCTTTGGTGCATGGCCGGCAGGAGGCACGTGGTATTTCACTCGTTGTGGCATTTATAACTCGAGCACAAACTTCTCTGTCACGAGAAGATGGTCGTAATGGACAAACAGGATTCCCTTTTCTTACAATATAAAGCAGCATTGTTTCCAAGGCATCATAATAAAAGAGAATTAAGATGCACAATTCCCTTCGTCTGTGATGGATGATCGTGAACCATATGTCGCTGCAGGAAACTCGGCGAGTAAGTGCTGATGGATCCGCTAGCAAATAACAAACCGCATCGATGTTTAGCTGAGATGATAGAACTGATCAAAGTAGTAACATTTGTTGGTTCACCAAAAAAAGTTTTGACAAAAACCTCTTGCACCAAAAAAAGCTGCCATTTATGCACATCCTCAAATACTATCTTCACAACTGTCAACCAGTAATTTTCCCATAAACAAGCTTTAATTCACATCAACACACGTTCACGTTCACAGAATTGAGAGTTTTCCAGCCTTGAGACAGGTCAGGGGAATCATAGCACGAGCGCCTCAAGCACAAAATAAGATGAGCTTCCAGCATTGGCCTCTAGCTTGCATCCGCTGTTCTATGATGTAAATATACTTCCACGGAAGGACATCCCAAAAGAATAGGAAGGAATGCATTAAATGTTTACACAGCCTACTCTTCTTTCTTGACAGGCCTGCTGCCATCTGGGATCCACGATGCCCAACAGAGAGGCAGCACTGTGCAAGCTGCCTGTATCAAGATGCCTACTGAAAACCCCGAGAAGTCAGCACCAGATACACCTACAGACATGGCAAGTGCCACTCCAAGATAACCGCTGATAATAGTTGCAAGCGCCACCGCTGACATTGAAAATGCCATGACTGACCCCTCACACCCAGACGGACAGATCTGTGCCATGAGAACACTAAAAGGGAGAATCTTGAACTGGAACAGAGATTCTTGCAGTCCTGAGATGATTACCACGTACATGGAGTCCGCAATCCTGATATCGCGGTAAATTCCTTTTACAAACAAGACATCAGATACCATAAACAGGGCGATTGCAACCTGCAATGCCCATAAAATTCTTTTTGCAGGAAACTTCCTGAACTGCTTGTTGTAGGCTACACTCCAAACAAGTAATGCTGCTTGGCCAAAGACTTTGGAGAAGCCGATGATTGAAGAGTCAAGATTTAGGTGCTGGGTTTGGTAGAAGAACATGGTGCCATTCAGCAGTGGAATCATAGCATAAGAAGTTGAGAACCACGCAATCAAACGGCTGATCTCAGAATTGCAAAGAGCAACATGTAACTCAGATATCTGTTTTGAGATGCTAGAGAATCTTGATGAATGGTTCATCTTTTTGGGAAGGTTAAGGGAGCTCTCAGAAACAGTGATGGTCATGAAGAATTGGAGAACCAGGAGGACTACAAAGATCAGGAACATAGTTTTGGGAGAGAGCACCTTGATGGCGATGCCACCAAGGATGTTTCCAAGGATGCCCCCAAGAGAAGCCAACATCCATGCAAAGGACTGAAGTTGGCCTGATTGTGATGGAGAATGTAATTGCTTCCCAGCCTCCACAACAATGGCATCATTGGCAACCTCTGCTATAGAGGCACCAAGGTTCCCAAGGAGGAGAAAGAGAGTGAGCATGGCAATAGAAAGCGATGTCCCAGGTAATGTAGCAATTGCCAGCCATGAGATTGCTTGCAAAATAGCTGCAGACGAAAGTGTAACTTCAAAATTCATCATCAGAACAGACAGAAAAATATTCAAGAATATATATATATATATACACACACACACACACACAGCAGAATCTTAACCGTAACTTAGCTGAAATAAACACAAATGATGACAACAAAACTTTAGCATGGCACAAATAGCTGTTATGTTCCTAAAAGAATTCTGGCACTTTGAACCATTCATGCGATATTAAGAATCCCTCTTTGGAAAAGTATCATAAATTAGTTGGAAAAAACTGACTTTATCACCTTGAAACAAGTAATAGTAATTGACAATGCAACACATCTTCGAAATCTGGAATAAAACAGAAAAATTAAATAAATTAAATTCAAGGTATACATCAGGAAGAAACATGGCATCTGATGAAAATTCTCTTCTCCTAGTGAAAAGAAGGTGGCTTAGTCTTGAATTAAGAAAGTTCAATTAATAGGACTTTACAATTATTTGTAATGCTAGCTTATTTCTTGTTCACCAGTATTCTAAGTTCCTAAAAAGTTTTAAAGGCTGAAGTTGAATGAAAGATTAGAAATGATTCCCAAGGAAACAAAAAGAACCAGGTGTTTAGTTAATTTTTCTCATCTAATAAAGTCAATAAGCTGGCCTAATGGCAAATAGGAAAAAAGAAAATCAACTAATTACCATCATGTGATACATTTTAACCTATTGATGACAATCACTAATTACCAACTAATGAATGTGTTCTAATGCTGTTGTTTGATTAAACCACAGGAGAGGTTGATATACGACAACATCATTGACGACTAGTTCTTTCTAGTTTCTACTACTATGTCACTTAAGTCAAGCATGGAGGAAGAACTAAAATACATACATCTAGTCCTAAGGATATGGTACATTTCCAGATCTTAAACATATAACACATGCATATTATTAAGGATGACTGTCTTTTCCATACAAAGAATGAAAATGATTATGCTCTGTTTGATCAACACTACTTGGTTCTTTTACTCTGACAAAAAAAAAAAAGAGATGCTAGAGATGGGATTAACGGGGACCTCCTTTGATGCATTAGTCCCGCTAAGCATGTAATGAATGAGTAGAAGGTTCATGATTAGTATTAATAAAAAGTAAATACAGTACTTAGAAGGCCCTTTCTGTATATATGATCGAACAAGAAATTCCAATGAAGACTCTTAATTTCTATGTGGTTGGCTTAAAATGATTAGTGGAGTACCATTAATGGATGATCCTGCTAGTAATGTCTGCTAGGTAGGTGGAGGGACGTCAATAGGAAACAATTACATAATTAAAAATATCAAAACTCTTAAAATGATGAAACATCAGTTAAATAATATTGATCTTGAATTAAGTTTTTATACTTGATGTGCACAACTAAACTACAAAAAAAAATTACATTTATGAAACATTAAAATCGTTTACAAATGTTGTGCTAAATCAAGTTGCCATGAGCCCTGCTGGCTAGCAGAATTCACTCCCAACCCCTCCACAAATTCCTTGCACCTCCTGTTGTTACTTTAAATAAGATTATCAAAGATAATAATAGTTCAAACAATTCTATCCCTTTTTGGGTTTACACATCTCCTAACACTGAACCATGTTAAATTTCCCTAAGATGTCTACTAAAATGGCAACTATCAGGTGAGTAATGATGTAGGACAAGTAACACAGAACTTCTTTTTGATGAAAGAGAGATAGAAAGAGAAAACAGAAATAATAATTGAAAGATAATAGAAAAAACTTGGATAATTACCAGACTTGCTCTGGCTCAAGGTCTCAGGATGAAGATCTCACATCTCCGCACGTCTCGCATGTGGATGATGGAATCATTCCATCGAAAAAGCAACTTGTGGTATTGCACCACTCACACACAACGTGGGAAAAGAACTCAATTCATTGATTCATTTCTGATTGATGCATTGCAATTTTCTAGCCCCTTTTTACAGGCTGAAGTACAAAAATAAAAAACAAATAAAACATTTTCAATTGTATTAAATCAAATATGTGATATCCTTTTTTCTTTGACGAAGATAATATTTTTTATTTTATTTGAGACATAATCTTCATCTCATGATGATATTCTTGATCATTAGGTTTTCATTTTTTTAACGACGTTCAAGATTGATAATCTTCAATCAAAAACAAATATGATTTCTTTCATCTTTTATGAATTTGTTTTCTTTTTCTCCTTAATGAATAGATTTTGGCATATGACCTAAACTAATTAATTTTATTTAACAAAAATATCTGCTAGGTAGGAACTCACCCTAAGTTCATATAATTGAGATATGGATTAGCCTTGATGAAGGAAAATCTTAGTTAGACCAAAAGCTCTAAAACCAATCTGATATAGGACGAGTAACAATGAATTTCTTTCGATGATAGAGAGATAAAAAGAGAAAAAAAATATATAATAATTATAGAAACTTGGATAATCCAGACTCAATCTGGCTCAAGGAGAAAGTTCTCACGATAAAAGCTTTGCCCCTCTGCATGTCTCGCATGTGGATAATGGAATCATTCCACATGAAAAACAATTGTGGCATCACACCACTCACTTATAATGTGGTAAAAGAACTCAATTCGTTGATTAATTTCAAATTGATGCATTAAAATGCTCTAACCCCTTTTTATAGTCTCAAATACAAGAATAAACAAGAAATTATAGAAATTTAAAAATTACATTCGCATCAAATCAAACTTTTTTTTTTTTTTTTTGAAGAAGGTAATATTTGATTTGAGAAGTAATCTTATCTATTGATGATAGTCTCCATTAATAGATTTTCATCTTTTTAAATATGAATCTTCAGTCAAAATTGGTAATCTTCAATTAAAAATAAATCTCATTTCTTGCATATTGTTTACATTTACTTCCTTTTTTCACTTCGATAGGTATATATTAACATAGACAACTTATTATATATAAAAAATATTCCTATACTAATTAACTTTACTTAATAAAAGATAAACTAAATTGCGCGTTAGTAATCCGTTACAGGATACGGCAAAGAAACGAATACCTTTAGCAGCAACCGAATATGATGAACTTAAGATACAGAAGGCGCACAGTCTAGCTTCGACACAACTCACCCAGCAAGATCTAGAAACAACTGAAAGCGTCGTGAGAGGGCACCAACTCTATTGGAGCGGATGTGTTCTACAGAAACAACAGAATTCGATGGGTCCTCCGTCCCAATTGTGATAAGAATCCAACAGGAAGCAAGAATTGCCGTTTCAGAGAGAAAAGGGAAAAAGGAAAAAGGAAAAAAAAAAAAGGCAGAGAGAGAGAGAGAGAGCACCTCCGATAGCGACGTAGGGGAGGCGGTGCTGGCCGGCGAGGTAGAGGGCGTCGGAGAGGATGCCGTAGAGGGGCTTGGCGACCATGGGAAGATTGGAGGAGTTTTGGAGGATCTGCAACGAAGAGGGGGCGACGCCGAGGCCGTCCTTGAGGAAAAAGTTGACGCCCATCCATGGGAAGCACCGGAACCCCTGCACCCAGAACCCCAAACCCACCACCCTCCGCAACGCCTTGTGCCGCCCATCTTTCACCATCTCCGACTTCCTTTCGTGCGTGCTCTGAGCAAAAAGTATTTATGGAGTCGATGGAAGAACCGAAAGTGAGGAGAACGTAAGTGGATGTGAGGACACGTGGAATCAAAAACACAATGACGGTTTAGACAGATGACACGTGGAATAAAAAAATAACATCAATTTCAATGCTCAATCACGCTTCTGAAATTAAAAAGCATAACACACGACTTGATTGTAATCTCAAAAAAAATTATTTATGGTGTTGTGGTGTGAATCAACAAAATTAAATTTGAAAGTTTGTAAACCTTCCATCAAATTTATAATACTATATATAAATATAATATTATATATAAATTATTTCTGAGAGTGATATTTTAGATATTTGAAAACGGATATATGAGAAAAAGCCCAAACTGGAAAAATTATTGTAGAATAAAATGTATTATTTGGCAGAATTTATTATTACGTAAAAAAATAGTCTATTTTAATGGAAATGCATTCACTCTTCATTCCCTCCAACGAGGGTCTTTCGATAACCTTTACAGATGATGGACAACCTCAAAACTTCAATGACAGGAACAGTGCAAGCAGAAACAAGACATGGGACCAACATAACCAGATCTGAGAAATCAACAAAGTGAAGACAACAAAAAGTATGTTACAATTTTAATTTACTTAACTCGATCTTCTTCACAGGGTAAGTGTATGCTTCATAATCAATTTTCTGACCAAGAGAACTCAGTTTTGTGAGCGATGTTATCAGATCAACCTGCAGTCAACAGCACAAAATCAGAGATGACAAGAAGCATTTGAACATTGGACACAGATCCATAACTGTGACAAGTAGACAGACTATCGAAGTGTTTCTATCTTTTTTCAGGTTTAATGAACATATGAAGTTCCAAGATAAAATAGTGTGCAACCAGCTTAGCAAATTACAGCGTCAACGCATTTGGATGCTGAAAACCAGCTTAAAGAATTAAGAATAGTTTCTAACATGCAATTTTTCCAATTATATTTTTGATATTTTCTTTGAATTTTTATGTTCAAGACATTTGGATACTGAAAACCAGCATAAAGACTTCAGAATAGTTTCTAACATACAATTTTTCTAATTATATTTTCAATGTTACAAGTACCCACCATCTATTGTATATATCTATAAAAACGGAATGATGCCAAGTAATTTTATAGCATATAGAAAAATAAAACAGATTTTTAAAAAGTGGAAAATATATTGCACTAATTTTGAAAAAATATGCCAATTAAACATAAAGCTTTTGATTTTTATTGCATGAGAAGTTCAAAGCTTAACTTGATTTCTTATAGAGGCATGAAATATTTAATTGGTAAATGCTAAGAAAAGAAGCAGTCCAGATATTATTTTCTGAATGATCATCACCTCATAATCTGTCTGGGATATAGTTTCTCGGCTACGTTGATACTTCTCAACCCAAGGACGGACTTCAGGATCAGATGACAAAAGGTTCTCTGTTGCCAACTGATCAGGACCAAGAAACGCAGACATCACTGCCAGCTGAAAAAAGTAACCAATCCATAAGAACATGACAGCGTACTAGATCCAACTAAATCATAATTTCTATAATAGTAGTTGGATTAAAGTAATAATGTAAACAGTATGCGAAATAAGAGCTTCATAATTTATGCATTTCAAAGCTTTGATTGAAGCATTGTAAAGCTAGTTTCTGGATGAAAGAAAACATTAAAGGAACCCCAGAAGAGTTTTGCATAATTTGACTTCAGTATATTCAATTTTCAAAAGAATTCTCCTATTAAAAGAAAGAAAAATGTTGTAGCCATTTGAACAGTATATATTATGAATCAAAGATGAATTTATATGTTTGTTGTCATAGTAGATTGGAGCACTAAAATACTGCTCGTTGGATAATTAAATAAATAATACGCAGACAAAAGCAAGTTCTAACTTGACAAAGCTTCCTAGTTCTGAAGGACATGGCATAAACACAAACTATATGAAAAAATCTGGCACACGTTACTACACTGTAGCAGTAATAAGACATCAATTACTTGTATATTATAAAAAAAGGTTTCCACAGGTGCACTCAGTTTTGAAATGTTTCTGACATGCATGTGATGCTAGTAAATACTAAATACCATCTCAATTTACTTATTTTTGAGATTTGACAATTATCTGAGAGAAAACCATGATGCAGCAAAATATTCAGTACCATCCATAGTTAATAATAGCAATCGGAAAGATGAAATGGTTGGGAGGTACCTGGCGTGGACCGAGGCCAATAGCAGTGAACTTTGCTTTCATTTCCTGGACAGAAGCCTTGTTCCACTGAGGGATCCTTCCTTCTGGATCAGGAGCTTCAGCATCCTTACGCCCAAATTGTTTGTCAAACAAGCCCCACTGTTTACATGGGAGAGAACAAGAAAAGAAAAAGTTAATAACATTACTAGTCCAGGAAGGTTACCAAGAGAGATACCTAGAAACTCAATATAAGAGAAGAAAATAATCATAAAAAGTTATACTAGTAGATGATAAAAACAAAATTATAACCAAGATTCAAATATTGGCAGTGCCCACGCATGCCAACTGCATATTGGAACGGCAGATGCTGGTAAGTCATTTACGGAAATCTTCATCACGAATGATGTGCCACCAGAACAAAAAAAAGATTAAAAGAAAAATTTTATCAGTTCTCATGCTTATCCCCTCTAGAATTATGTTACTGTAATTGTAATACGATATAGATGGTCAAGCAAGGAAAATATCTCTAGGAGTTCCACACATGGACCCTAGCCCCCATTCCCAATAAGGAAGAATGCATTGTTCCTGAATTAAAAACTTGAGATGTGGTTTAATGTATGAGCCGGTTCTATAAATCATACCTTCCAAGATAATGGAAATATATCCAAAACAGAACGTTAAAATCCCTAAATAAGCGACATCTAGAATATGCAACCTGTGCTATCTAAATCAGCTAGCACTCAACCAATTGCCAGATGTTACTCTATATGAGAAAGAGAAATTGATATTTGTTACGATGATTATGAAAATTCATATTCAATTGTCTCAGACTAATGTCTAGAAATATATTTTGATCCAAATGATCTGCTCAATGAAGATTTTACAATAACCCTAGAACTAGTTATAGAGTACAAGACTGTGGTCCCTAACATTAGTCCTTGACGACAAACAATTTTTCAGATTTCTACAGAAGCATCAACTCTACAAGTTACATATATGTTGTAAACCAATAGCAGACAGCGAAAAAACATAGTAGACTTACACCTACAACATATCAAGATTGTGCATCACAATGTGATACCGTAGGTAAGGGAGGAAAAAAATTATAGCAGAAATATTAGGATATTTTATTCTGAGAAAGTTAATTTATTTAAGAAATGAGGTTTGCAAATTGTTTGGATATCAGATTGGAAATGAAAATTAGTTTCACTTTTTTCATGACCATTGGATTGAATTTGGCCCACTCATTAACAGGATTAGCAGGGAGGTTGTGTATCAAACTAGAATGAGTTTGAAGGCGATAGTATTGGACCTGATAGTTAATGTAAGGCAGTTCTTACCAACATTTAAAACAAGTCAAAATTCATAAGACTTATGGCAAAAGTGCAGTTACTATTGTTATGATTTAGCATCAATAAGACATGGAACCATTATTGAAAGAAAAACCTTGTAAATTGGCTTAATATGATTTGGATTTAAGCACAGAGTGCTCAGGCATGCATCTATGTTGTGGTCAGCAGTGTTGGACAAGTTATTGTTTCAAGATAAGCCATTTTAGTATCGTATTCTGCAATCTTTAGAGAATTTATTTATCAGATGATCTGTTACTCCAAAAATTTGGAAAAGAATTTTGTAGCTTGGTAAGATGGGACAACAATTTATGGACATGAACAACAAACCGAGTGGTTTGCAGATCACAGTAAAGATAAAGCATTGCAGGTTCAACTGAAGAAAGATGTCGATCATTTGTGGATTGAAAGGAACAGGATATTCCAGAAGTAGATTTCTGATGTCAAGAAGATTGTAGAAATGTCACAGAGAATATCGGAATAGCATTCTTTTATAAAGAGGATAATCAGAAGATCTTTCATGCAGACAGTAATGGGGTAGGTCTATAAAATTTGCCTATGGAATATGGATATAACTTCCAATAAATGACTGTATAGGAGTTAAGAGATAGAAAGTAGCTAATTTCTTGTTGTTTTGGTCAGAATGGATTGACTGTTTGTTAATTGTCTACAACTCTGGTATATTGTCCTATTGACATTGAATAGAATGGCTTACACTTTGCAAAAGAAACATTAGAATTTTTTTTCAATAGATGACAAAAGATAAGTCAACAATATCTTAATCAACTTTGGACACTAGGGGTATTGATCACAGCTTTAGGATTTGAACTTTTTGTTATTAGCTTCACTTCAGGTAAGAATAATCAAATACGCTTAAGAATTCAAATACAAGTTGCATTGGCATGTACCAACAATTTTTAGTTCGACCAAGGACCAGCACTAAACCATATAGGTCAATAATTATCAATAATTTACACTTTATTATTATTTTCTGGTGATACCTGATGGTAAGTTGGTACATAGTTCAGTGTATTGGCATAGCAGTATTTTACAAGACTGATCGATTAGCAAAACCAGTATTGGATCAGAATTTAAATCCTTGCTCATCCACAAAATTGAACTTTGATTAATGAATTAACCTGACCATTTGAACCATATACTGTACATAGCAGTATCACCTAGACGGCCTGATCTAAATCACAAAATTAAACTTTAGTTGTGGAACCAACCTGACCGTTTGAGCCATATGCTGTGTATAGTAGTTTTCCTTTGTCTTCCTTTCCACCACATTTCTGGATTGCAGAATCAAGGAATGTTTTCTTGATTGATGCTTGGGCTATATTCATAAAGTTGAACAGAGTTAAATTAATGTCCATTCTAAATAAATAGCAAACTAAATGCCAACTCGTAAACTATGAAATATGAAGAAAAGTCAACAAAAATAACAGTTCATTTCATTTTTCACCAATCCAAATTGAAAGCTAAAAGACAAGCTTATGTAACGCCATCAGCGCTGGATGCTAGAACAATCTATAACTCCACATATGAGACTAGGTAATATATCAGAAGCATGTATCACTGTTCCAATTTTTACTAAGAGAAATTACTACCAAGAGAGTATACATTGACCAGAAACTTAATTTGTTTTAAGACCTACTAAGACAATCACTGTTCAATTTTGATAATATTAGATGAAATGATGTAATGTCTAGAAATACCACCAAGAGAGTATACATTGACCAGAAACTTAATTTGTTTTAAGACCTAGTAATATTTATTGCTTGGAAAACTTAAAAATTGCATTCAAAATTTCATATTGAGTTGTCATTTAAAAATTGATTTCATTTAGGTCCCAATGATATTAGGACCAGGAGTTGGTGATTCTTAATTTGGTTAGCAGTTTGGATGGTTGTGTCCCATTCTACATCAGAGAAGGGTTTGAAGTTGTACGCAAATCAAATTACAACATGCAGACAATTCCTATTATTAGATAGATTTAAGATCAAGAAGCCAACATTGGACAGTTTAACTTACCGGCATACTGGATGAGGTCAGCAAATGAAATTGGCCCTCCTTTGGAATATGTGTCAATCCCCTTTTTTGCTTCCATTATGAGATCCAAAGCAGCAGAAAGTCCACTATTTTCAGGTCTTCCTAGTTCCGCACTTCAAGAGATTTTAAAAAAAGAGCAAAGAGATAGAGATGGTTAGGATATCTGATCTAAGAATAACATATGGCTACTAAATAGATATATAATTGAGATAATTTCGACATCACCAAAAGAGATCTACCTCAAACGGATTGATCCATTTGGGCCCCCAGATTTTGTAGCCTATATACATTTACTTTCAAAAGTCAGTTGCCTCCACAGCCAAATTGATGTGTAAAGTAAGCAAAAACATTCTGATGCATTTGACCAGTAACACAAAGTCAGCTAACCTTGTCATATGTCATTGCATCATTTAGTGCTAGCGTAAGTATGGATGGAACAAGATCTGGTTGTCCCTTTAGAAAATGTGAGAGATATTAAACATTTCAGAATATAAAGAATCAGAATTGATATTTGTCCAGCAATTTTAGACCGTCAATGGCAAGAATCATAACAAAACCTATGCTATGTTTACCTTTATCATTGTTGAGAGAGTTCCTTTGATACTTGCTGATATATATAAAAAATGGGAATTTGGTTACTGAAAAAATTTCAATACTTCAACCAAGAAGTCAACAATGTAATTGCCTATTGGTACTTACACTGAAACTCAGAACGTTGTCTACGCTGTATCAGATCAGCAGCATTGGACACTCCTGTTAGTGATCCTGAGCTTGAAATCAGTTCCTAATGACCACAACTAGCAGAAATCAACATTATATAATTAATCAATCAATTCAAACCGCAGAGGACTATTTCAAAGTTAAATTAGGGGATATACAAGCTTAAGTTTGCCCAAGTATAGCTCATATTCTGGACATTCTGTCATTTTGTAAAAAGCTTGAACATTTTTGCACTCCTAAACATCACAACAGATGTTCCATTTTGCTTTATTATCTGCATCATCTTCACATTTTTAATTTTGTACACTAAGAGATGTTGTCTTTGTTATAATCTCTTTAATTTTTAGCTACGCATAGAGATAACTTGCATGTGGATTTTTGCTTGTCATGGATTCTATATTGTTTTTGGTGTTTGTTCATCTTCCCCCTGATCTTAGACCCTCTTAAATTTCATATGTTGAGATGGAAAATAAACCAGTTAGAAATATATTCCTATAAAGGATTAAAAACAAACAATCAAATCAATGATTTAACAAACACGGTTTTAACAAATTCCTATAATAGCATTACATACTCAAACTTCTTTTCTGCCCATTTCTACCAATTAAAACGTAGGCGGGCAACAGAGAACTCCACATTACGAACCAAACGTTAAAAACTTAAGGTGATGAAAGAGAAGTAAAATAGATCGATGAATAGCGAAAACATTGTCATCAGACGTCGTTGAAACTGGTAATACCATGCCAACGACAGCGCCGACGCATCTAAGAACGTCCCTCCTATGATACACGCATCTTTCATCGGCTTCACCCGCGTCTTCGGCTCTGCGGTAGCAGCAGACGACGCCCTGCTTATGCACAAATAAACATCTGCATAATTATCTACCATTAAGCGGTAGACCGAAAAAATGAAAACAGATCGAATGCAGTCGACGAACTAACTTCAAATGATGATTATAACAGAAAGCAAAATAACAGGTTAAGATGTGGTAACAGGGAATCGAAGTGAGGCGTACACTGGAGATCTCGGGGGCGGCAAAGGCCAGAGAGGGCCGAGGCGAGTGAGGACGGAGACGGAGCGATGTAAGCGTGGAGAGGAACGAAACTCCCGCCATCGTTCTGACTGATGTGATCTCGGGAACCGATGGATCGGTGCGAGCGCGAGGTATTGTATTATGTGGACAGGTTGCAAAGCGTTATCTCGAAGTCGGCAATATCTGCTATCTTCTCTCCTTCGGACAAAATAATAGGTAACTGTTTCCATCTCGGGCTTCATAATTGGGCCTTAAAAAAAATCAAAAACTTAATCTACTAAATTGGTGGGTCAATCAAGATTAATATAAATCAAATCAAATATCAATTCAAACTCAATATATCACTAAGATCTTTCAATATTTACCAATATCGATCTATAAAATAATTTAGTTTTAATCTTATCACACATGAACTGAGTATTTCCTAACATTTTATTCATGTACAGTTCAATGGCAAACTCAATATATATCATCGACTCTCTCAATATTTACTAATGTAGAATTATTCGTTTAGTTCTTTTTTTAATCTCTCGTTACATATAAATATTTTCAATAAATAAGTTTGGTGACCGAAAAAGAAGCAATAGTTCTGTTGATGTATATTTTGCATTTCAAGCATAGGAGAAAAACTTTTAGGAACCAAACATTGATGAAAGTTGTGTGTTAATGTATATAAACTCAGACTCATTCTCAAATGATTTGAAGAACTACAGGACTAAAGGTCTTCTTGTTCCCTTTTCTTGCATAGAAGCTATCTGGATAGATAACATCATTTCCCCTCGTAAATAACCACCTTCAATGTTTTTTTGGGCTAATTACACATAATTATCTTATATAGTTAGTTATTTTTAGTATCTTGATTCATATACTTTAAAAAATTATATTATTATTTTTATAATTATAAAAATAAAATATCTAAGCTTATTTATTCTAATATGGCTAGTCTTATCAACGAAAATATGAAAACAAATGATAAAAAAATATTTTTAATATTTCAATTAATAATGATGAACGATGTCAGTGGTGACGGACAACGATGTTATTGGAGGGTCACGAGTGACTATTATAGATGAGAAAAATGATAACAAAAGATGAAAGTGGCTTTGCATGTACGTTAACACCAGCACAATTGTCAATTAGCTTTTTTGTCGCTTTATATATGTGTCGACACTGATACAGTTGCTTAGCTGAGTGGCATCACTCTGCATTTGTGTTACGCATATGCAAAGCAACCTTTATCTCTTATTATCGCTTTTCTCATTCACAACAGTTACCCGCAACCCTTAATAATGTCGTTATTCATCACCATCAAAACTATATGCTATCACTATCTGGAATGTTAAAATTATCTTTTTACATATTGTTTTCATGTTTCATTAGTAAAAATGTTAGGATAAATGGATCTATCTATTTTACTTTTGTAATTAGAGGGATATCAATATAACTTTTAAAAATGTAAAGATTGAGATACTAAAGATAACTATAATTTGTTCAACTTCTTTACTTCATAAACACCCAGAAAAATTTCACAAAGATCCAAGATGAACCCAGCACAACTAGATTTGCTCAACACACCAAGTCCCACCTCAACCACTCAAGTAGATCACAAACCCCAAAAATTTGGAAATAGAGAACTAGTAAACCATTTCTTCAAATATAACACAACATTTTAGTGGAGCAACTTTGATCAGCCTCGATCATATAATTCTCTCCCTAATCATACATATATAGAGAGAGAGCCAAGCAAAATATAAGGTGAATCTGTTGGAGTGAGACAAAGAAGGACCAAAGCATTAATTTATCATACATATAAATCTTCTAAAAGACAAGATAAATTCACCCCAACCCTACTCCTGGCTAAAAAAAGATACCAGTCCTCTGAGGTGCAAATCCCAGAAAAACTCGAGTAGATTTCCCCCATCAGGTTAAAATACACACCAAATCACACTACTGATAGCTTATGTCGCTGACCATGACTATAATGAGCTATAAATTTCTACGTGCATGTTCTTGATCTTGTGCTAAATGGAGCTGTGTTCGACTGCACTAAGCAAGCTTGTCGTCCGCTGCCGTTTTGTTCCACCGGATGAGGATAGATCGTGCTCTGCTGTCTGCTCCACGACTCCCTTTAAGGCATCCTCGATGGCTGCTACCAATTCCTGCTCGTCGTCGTAACCACTGGCGTTGTGCTCCTCGGTGATGACGAGGACGTTCTTCACGCGGCCACCGACGGTGGTGATCTCCGCCTTGAGGATGCGAAGCTTTAGTGTTTTCAGGGCGCTGGTGAGATCCGGAAGTAGGTCAGGGCGGTCGTCGCAACACAAAGACGCCCTGACGATGAACTTGCCGTCATCGTCGCATATGGAGTCGACGGTGAGCTCGTCGTCTTCGGTAGGCAGCGGGCTCTCTTCTACGATCTCTAACGTCTGCCGTTTCAGTTCCTTCACGTGCTGGATGACCTCGGCTAGCAATGATGCTTTATCCGTCTGAAAATATGAGAGGAGTTAGAAGTAGACCACAAGCGATTGAGGTCGGAAGAGGAAAAATATCGACAAGATGGAGCACGAGTTAATAGCTTGACTACGAAGCAACAAATGGAAGAAGAAAGAGATCATAAGGGAACATCAAAAACCCTAAGAGCGATTGCAGCAAAAGTGCGGCAATTACTGTTTCTGGTCTACTGGTTCTTCTTGTATTACCTGTGTGAGTGCTAAGTTTTGACCTAGGACGCTCGCGTGCATGTTTGTTTCCACTTTCCATTTGAAAGTATGAAAGGAAAACTGTAGGCAAGAAGATAAAGCTGCTGCTGCTGCATGTTAGGGCTGCTTTTACTTAAACTTTCTACTGGCTTCTGACAGGAGTGCGCATGTTTGTCTTTCTTAGTAGTATACTGTGCATTCTCTGCAACATCATTCCCACAGAAGCTTTGTATACAACTTTGTCCCTTTGGTTTTCTCGCTTACCCTAGTGTTTACTTGACTCTCACCTCCTTCCTTCCACAACTAGACAGTCGGAGCTTGTAAATGAGAAAAATAAGGTGTTGATTGCACTCCTTGTCTCATTATACTACCAATGATCTTTTGCGCTATGGTTTATGGATGGTATGTGGATATGAGATATTGAATGTGCTTGACTTGTTACCTTGGTGGTGTTTGGGAGCATGCTGCGCAACTTGGCAAGATGACCATTGATGCGCTCCCGACGCCTGCGCTCGGCCTCGCTATGGCTCTTGGATGCAGCAAAAGCCTTGGCTTCCATGATTTCCTGGGCAGTCAGCTTCTCCAATTCTTCATGAATGGTCCCAAAGAGAGACGAAGAAGCCGACCCTTCTGCTCGTAGAAATCTATGTAAGCCCACAGTAGCACCAGCCATTAATCCGGGCGAATCCGAAGGGAATTGCAAGCCACTCAAGGTCCTCCTGCTATTGTACATATCCGCATACAAAGGAGGGGCAAAGGGAGGCAGATCGGGGCATATGAGTTGTTGATCCAGTCCAGGATTGCTATGTGAGAACTGATGATGGGTTTCGCCGATAGAGTGAATCGAAGGAAGACACCATGGCAAGGTAGGATTAATAGCAGCAGAAACAACGCTTCCATCTCCTCCTGGAAAGAAGTGTTCTTCACCTCCTCCGCAGCCATGAACCATATGGTATGGGATTTCTATTTGATTCTCCATTCCTGGATCTTCAGCAAATCGAGTGCCGGCACTTCTTCCTTCCCTCTCTCTATACTTTGACCTCTTGCGTCCACAAAGATAGCTTTCTGGATCGATCAATCACGGCCACGACCTTGCCATCTCCTCCCCTCCCCTTTAAATCTTTCTCCTCCACGCTTTACCTTGGACGACTCCTCCCTGTGGGAAGATAGTGCGGAAGCCTCAGCCAGGAGCATACAGTTCATTTACGGCACTATCTCCTATACTACTTTTCTCACCTATATAATAAGAGCTTTCATCTTTCTAGAGCAAACCTGCAACCTTCCTGTTAGATATATAATTACACTGCCCGGCAACTGTGCTACGGAGACAAGAGAGAAAAGCGGAGGTGCGGCGATGGAATTAGAACCGACCAGGCCTGAGGAGTTCAAAAAGATGGTAGCTATAAAGAATTGGAACAGCCATTGAAGGTAGTATAATGACAGTCCTTCTGACTCAGTCAAGGCCCACGTTCTGTCTGCCTGCGCCTGCTTTACTTTCCCAGTTCCACGCCCTCCCCTCCCACAAAACAACGCAATGATTGTGTTTTGGAGCGCACTTCCTCTCTCTCTCTCTCTCTCTCCCTCTCCCTCTCTGACTTAGCTGATCACGCCGTGGTTGCGTCCATCATCTGTTTACAGTACCGAGTAGAGGAGCTACGCCGTTGGAAGCATCAAGACGGCAAGCCATGAACTGTTGGACTGCAATCACGGTGTTCATACGCCACTGTAGACTGGGAAGGTATTCACCTCTTAGAAGATCGAGCACATGCCCTCGATTTGGTCCCCCGTCCTTTAGCTTTTATTCTTGTATACCTTTTGCTGCTTCTCTTGCTTCCATCTTTTCTTAGAGAAGGAGAATGATGCGTCCACCGCGGCACGGGCAACACCACCACCACCCACCGATGCGAAGAAGGAAAAGGACAAATGATGATGTCAGTGCCACGCGCATGTGACATCAATTGCGCTCCCAACTTGGTCGAGTCTGGCCAAGTTCATGTTTCACATATGAGGTTCAATTCGTACTCACGCGATACAATATACTTATTAATATGTCCTTTTTTCGCAAATATTACAGAGAAAACTCAAAGCATGTCTTCATGGAAAACCCAATTATAAAACTTTTAATGAAAATAAATTCAAGAATTGTCCAAAGTGAATTTCCTTCACCTTAATTTTTAATAATCTAACAAAACATAATAAGTCAACAAAACTAATAATATCAATTTCATTCAATTTAATGAATACTCCATCTTATTCGAAATATTAAATACATTATCTTATCATTTGAATTTTGCAACTGTTTTTAGTATTATTAAAGCCAGGTCGATTGACTCCCTCATTGATCTCACATCATCCATCAATAGTCAAGTAATCTTCTGACTCACTGTAAACATCTTTATTTATCCTTTATATTTACCCTTTATATCAAGTCAGTTGTGCTGACTTAACAGATAAAAAAGCAAAAGAAGCTTGATCAAAAATATAAAGATGCGAAGGGCCTTAATGTAAAAAGAACACATTCTGCCTCTTCCGACTCACGACCTAACCCTCGCCGAGTAGTCGAGGGAAGAATGGCCGGGAAGGAGAAGACGAAGGAGAGCAAGAGGAAAAGGTATGTCCTTCTTATTTTCTGATTTCATCCATTTTTTGGTCATGATACATGACACATTACCTGTTTTGGATTCCCATTTTAATTCTTGGTGAGGAGACCCATACCTGCATATACCTATATGCAATCTTGACCGATGACAATGATTGCTTTAGTGGAGACTAAGTGCCATCGAAGAAGTCGTGAAAGAAATTCCTGTTCTAGATGTACTTATTAGAGAAAGATCAAGCACATGTTCATAGAGGGTTCGATAGGTTATTTGTTATTTGTCTTCTTGCCTGTCGAGGTTAAATGCACCCTTTCCAAGCTAATTACGATGGTATGACTTTGATCGTAACAAAGTTGCCAGCAAACAGCATGACACTAAGACACTTTACTTCTCATAGAAAAGATACTACAGGAGGACCAGCATGTTGAAAGTTAAGCCTCTAATGGAACTTTTAGTAGTGTCGTTGTTGGATGAGGAAGTGGTTAGATTAATCTATTATGATGTGAGAAGACATGGTGTATGTGTTTTGCTTGCAGGTTGTTGCTTTTTGATGTAGGATACACTCTGGTGGTAAAAGCAGACAACTTTTGGAGGACTCACTTGCGTTTGCTAAAAGTCCTGCTATTCTCAGTGTCTCAATTTTGGACACATTGCAGGTGTAAACTAAGAGAGAGTGAAAGAAGAGAAGCTTGTACCATGAGGCCTTTGTATAGGCTCTAGGGTGGTACAAAAAAGGCAACTATATTACAATTGATGGAGAAAAATCAGCGATGACTGAGCGAAAAATCATCTCTTGACTCTTTGGATTGAGAGAATTATTCACATTAATATTCCCCCTCAAACTTGAGCTGGTATTGTAAAGCAACCATCGGAGCCAAAAGTTGTGGTATCAGCTATGGCACAATATGCAGCCTCAGTGCTAAATTGAGTACCAGATTTGCCTTTTGCGACACCAACAAATGAGATTCTCCAAGAAAAAAAGAAATCAATGCCTATTAGTAGACATATTATGTGTTTGATCAACTTTTCAACCAGCAATAGGATATGCTTGCAGCTCTGAATGAGAATTGAATGAACAATGTTAGTCACAAAAGAAAGTGCCTTTGATATATCTCAAAATATGGAGGACTGCAGCAATATGTATAGAACGATATATAACATATATTGGCTGACAAGATGAACTGCATATCAGATCTCTGGAAGATAAACATGATTGCCAACTAACTAACAATGAAGTGTATGTAGGAACATGAAGCGGCTGTCCACCAGTAGCATGAAGTTTGGAATAACGTTAAGAAGAAAATCAACAGTCTATCAACCAGTCAATCCAACCTTGGATAAGAGATCTGATGCATAGTTTGTTTGAGAAAGATAACATTCAGCAGAACCTATTGAACTACGTAGGGAGAAGATATAGAGCTATCACATGAAGGAAGAGTAGGACAAGGCAAAACAATCTATGTTTCACTCAAAAACTTTTATATGTTTTATGACTCAACACATGGGGTTTATATAGTCCCCATAGATATATGACATTCATTACGTTTAATATGAATCACTCTTTTCCAAGAGACTCTTTCAGGAACCAATAATCAATTTGATTTATCCTTTTATAGGCCTTTAATGTATTTCACTTCTTAATACAATGAACATCTTTATGATACATTGACAAGTTTAATTCTAATATTCTCCCCCCCTTAAACTTGTTTCATCTCCAAGTTTAAAGGGAGAGAATGTTGAAACTAAACTTGTCAAGGTATGTTCATTGTATCAAGAGATGAAATACATTAAAGACCTATAGAAAGATAAATCAAATTGACTATTGGTTATTGAAAGAATTTTTGAAAAATAGTGATTCATATTAAATATAATGAATGTAATATATCTTTGGGCACTGTATAAACCCCATGTGCTGGGTCACGAAACAAATAAGAGAGTTTTAGCAAGCATAACATTGTATTTCATATTAGAATTTCTTCCACGGCTTCGACCACATCCTCGACCATAACCTCGGTCTCTTTGGCTAGAATTTTTTTCGTCACCTTTATTGTTTTGAGATTCTTGATTGGTTTAATTTCTGCCACCTTTTCCTCCTTGTCCATGACCTCTTCCTCTTTGAGATTTTGATTTACTTTTATTTTCATGAGGAAGCTTGGTTTGTAATGCTTGCTCTATAGATTTTCTTCTCCTCTTTTTGTAAGCCTTTGTCATAAACTTGAAAAGAACCCTTGTTTTAATGATATTTGTTCCTAATTTTTTGAATCTTCAATCGCTACAACAATAAAATCAAACTTTGGATCTAGATATCTTAGTTTTTTTTCTACTACTCTTTGATCACTTATTTGTTTATCATTTTGTCTCATTTAATAAACAATAGAAGTGATTTTTGAGAAGTAATCAAAAATAGGTTCAGAAGTACCTTACTATAATTTTTTTAACTTAGCTCATAAAAATTGTAGATGAAGCTTTTACCTTATTCACACCACTGAATGTTTTCTGAAACATTTCCTAAGCCTCTTTTGAATTATTTGTTGGAGAGATGATCTCGAACATTATAGCATCAAGCCTTTGGTAAATTGTAAACAAAGCTTTTTTTCCCTTCTTCCTTTCTTCTTTGGGTTATTTTCTTGTTTTTGCATTCGTTGCTCCTTCTTTTACTGCACTTGGTTCAACAAATTCATCTTGTACAAACTCCTATACATCTTGGGAGCCTAGAGGAACCTTCATTTGGATGCATCATATATCATAATTTTCTTTTGTCACTCTAGGGATTTGGAGTTGGATGGTGCTTGCGAAAGAGGCTATAGCTTAACCTGAGCTCTAATACTAAATGTTGAACTATGTAGGGAGAAGAGATAGAATTATCATACAAAGAAAGAGTAGAACAAGGCAAAATAATCTATGTTTCACTCAAAAACTCTCTATATGTTTCATGACCTAACACATTGAGTTTATATAGTTCATATAGATACATTACATTCATTATATTTAACATGAATTACTTTTTTCCAAGAGACTCTTTCAAAAACCAATGGTAAATTTGGTTTATCCTTCTATAAGCCTTTAATGTATTTCACTTCTTGATACAATGAACATCTTTATGAAACCTTGACAAGTTTAATTCCAACAGAATCAGATAAAACTTCAAACTGAAGAAAGTGACCAAGGGGACCAAGGGTCTTCGGATTAGTACCTTCTGAAAGATCATTCTGGATGAAGATCTTATCATGAACATAAAGTAACAAAAGAATGGTGCATGTGGAAGTTTGGTCAATGAACAATGCAGGGTCATTTGCATTAGAGAGGAAGCCAACTAATTTATAGTGGAGCTAAAGTTTGAAAACTAAGCATTAGAAGCTTGTCTGAGTCCACAAAGAGCACAATAAATTCTTCAAAATTTATTCGGTGTATGGGTGGATGCAAGAGGAGAATGCTTATAGACTTCTTCAAAAAGATCACCATGCACAAAGGCATTTCTAAAATCAATATGGAGTGGTGGTCAGTGGCACAATATAGCGACAGTTGTGAAAGCTCTTAACTAGGTTTATCATGCTACTAGGAAAATCTTTCCTCATAGTCAATTCCATAACCATGTGTAAATTCTTTAGCAACCATAGTGGACTTATGTCGCTCAATTGACCCTAGTCTTCATTTTGTAGACCCACTTACACATTGTTAGGAGAATTATCTTCAGTAAATCAACCGGTTCCCTAGTCTGAATTTTGA